GCTGCTTGCGAGAAATGTTCTACTAGAAATACGCTAATCTTGCTTTTTCTAGTATTCATTGTAGGGGGCTATTCTCATGAGCGAAGGACCGAATGAGCGAAAAAACTCGTGAGCGAAAGATCGAACACAAATTTAGCCGAAACTCAATTTTTAAAAAGAAGCAATTGCCATTCAATTTAAATGAATTAAATGAAGCAATATCTTTTATTACGAAAACCTTGAAACATAAAGTTTGTCCCAATTTTGCGGCGCTCAATGACAATTTGAAAATTTTGCATATTTCTGCCGTTTTTATATTCGGCCAATATCAATACTCCAGTCACTGGAAATGTTTACTTTCTTTCCAAATTTTAGATTGTGAAATTTGATTGGCTTCATTATATTGTCAACCGAATATTTTTCACTGTTTTTCGTATTTTATTTGCTATTATCGTTTAGCAACTTTTCTCTATTCACTAGCAAATAAACTGATAAATCTCGACATCCCTCCTTCGCGCACCCCATGTAAACTTCAATTTGATATGATTTGCGTCTATCAATGGGCTATTTCAACCAGTTGGCAAGTATAATTTAGGTTTTGAACAATTTCAGGGCCTATTTAATCGCCGATTTTGTTGTGAGTTAAAAGAAAATTGGGATCTTTTTTAACGCACCAAAAGCAACCGTTTTGTTGTTTTGAAAATAGATTTAAAAGTTCATATTTGATTGGCTGAAAAATGTATCTGCAGAGTTTCCTTAAGAGCAGAAGTTCAATTAACAGTATGGTTTTTTGTGCCCTATAACAGAAAAGACCCAAAAGTAGAAAAAATCGCCTTAATTACCAGTCATTGATCAAATTGGCATTATATGACGAGTTTCATTCCACAAATAATGCAGGCAGCTAAGTATCTCTAGATCTTGTTGAAGTTCTCAATGTATCAATATTTTTCAGATACTTTTTATATGTATAGAAGAGAACTTGTGTAAGTATGCGAAACCTGCCAATGGAAAAATCAAATACTATTCGAAGAAAAAAAACACACCACGCACAAATATTCCATTTTTTTTCTCAAAAAACTGATTCAAATACGAAATATTGCTTTTCCGACTTTCGAAGAATTCCGAATCTTTATGCTTGCGTCGCTGCTTTCTTTTTCAGTCAACTTTCGAATTTAACTAAATAATTTTGACACAGAAATTTCTAGCATCTTAAAACTGCTTAAATAAGAAACAAGACTGCCCGTATCAGGGCGAAGCCCTGAATGTTCCGACTGCCTTTTAAGGTTTATGGAGCAGTAATAAAATTTAAAAATTAAATGAAATTTAAAAAAATTGAAAAAACAATTTTCTAAAATTATTTATGAAAACCATCCCCCCACACGCCATATACAGTACAAAGAATCTAATTCGCTCCTTGTAGCAAACCATTATGACAAATAGGCTTCATTCAACCAATTTGGAACGATTTCTAAGACGGATTAACTCGCCGCTTACGCGTTAAAAGCGCGAAATATATCGCGCGTTAATTGTCCCAAATTGGCCAAAATGGCAACCTTTGAACCCCCGTAACTTTACGAAAAATGATCACAGGTGAAATATCTTTTCAAATTTGAGCTCAGGACAACAATACCTTTCGAATGATATAAAAAAATTCCGTCAAAAATGGCTAGTTAAAAAGTCGAAATTTGTCTGAAGAAAAAAAAACCCACCCGAGCACAAATATTCCGTTACTTTCGTACCGAAAGTCGGAACAAAAACCTCTGATCATTGTTTGTTAAAATATGAGGTTTGGAAAATGCTAATTTGGCTACTTTGGAGTAATTAATGCACAATACTTTGGCAAAATTTTGCGTTCAAAGTTGAATCGAGGTAAATTTGGTTCAATTTTTGAGAGAGGTGCTTAAAACATCCCTATGTAATTTATATTCAGCGTGTGATAAAGTTTCTTTCTTTGCAAATTTTGAAGAAATTTGCCTAGTGTATTTTTTTTTCCAAGTAGCCTGCATACAGACATTGTTTTATTTAAAGAAATTTCGCGCAAACATCTGAAACCAAATTTTGAATTAAATTCACTTCCCGGGTTGACAAAAAATGGTTATCATACATTTTTCATATATGAAAAAAATGCTTATTATACTCTTTCCTACAATTTCGTAAAGTAAAAGTATAAGTCAGAAAATAGCAAAATAAGCATTTTTTCCATATGAAATTGTATGATAAGCATTTTTTCCATACTATGAAATTGTATGATAAGCATTTTTTCCATAAATGAATATTCAAAAAATTTCTGCTTCGAAATTTCGTGTTTTAACCGAAACACTAACCAAGGATTTTTTGTCATGAGAAAACCCACAGAGTAACTGGCAGTTACCACGCAGATAAACTGCATTTGGTGGTTTCAGCCATAAAAGTTAATAAAACGCTTTCACATAAAAATTTATACCAAAAAAGCAATTTTTTGAATATAGCTAGATAATTTTTGGCTTGAAAATTATGATGCATGACAAAAAAGGCCTGTTATTTTTTTACAAATTTATTTTTATTTTAGCAAATGAAACAAAAGATAATAATCGTGTTTACAAAAAAAAACATTTTCATGTGAGTTTAGGGTTTTTTGGGTGAGAAACTCATCCTGGACTACGTTATAAACACAAAAATGTCAAATTTTGCATGCAATTTTTTTTTTCAAAAAATTTATATTTTAGCACAAATGCAAATTTGGAGCCAAAAAGGGATTAAAAACTTTTTACCTCAAATTTTTTTGTTTAGGAAAAAAATGCATATCATACAATTTTTATATATGAAAACTTTATGATAAGCATTTTTCTGACCCAAATTAAAATTATGTTTTTGATTGTCAATATGCCTTCTATCATGGATATACTTATATAAATCTATTTAAAGTTACCGAGACACGTATTTTGGTGATTTTTGAAAACTTTATTTTTTCTATGACAAAGTGACTATCTTATAATTTTCATGCATGAAAATTGTATGATAAGCAACTTTTTTATCGAAAATATTTAATCATTTTTTTAATGACCAGAAAGCTTCAAAAGAGGCAAATAGGCCAAAAATGTTCATTAAAAGTTTCTAAAACACTTTTGTATGAATTTTGTATGATGAGCATTTTCTCCATAGACTTCATATATGAAACTGTGCAGCAGTTACTACGCAGACCAACAGTTACTACGCAGATAATCTGCATTTGGTTATTTTAGCCATAAAAATTAATTTTAACATTTTCACATGGAATTATATACAAAAAATGTAACTTTTTATATATGGCTAGATAATTTTTAGTTTGAAAAACTTGGTGGTTGAGAAAAAATAACCGGTTTTTTTACAAATTTATTTTCATCTTGAATTAAAAAATAATGAAGCAAATGAAACAAAAATCCTGAAGCAAATGAAACAAAAAAAATCATAATATTGTTTACGAAAAAATGTTTTTTTTTGTAATTTTTGGATTGTTTGGGTAAAAAACTCATCTTGGACTGCGTTATAAACATAAAAAGTCAAATTTTGCATGCAAATATTTTTCGTAAAATTTTATTTCAGCACAAATGCAACCAGAAATAGGATTAAAAACTTCTTACCTTAATTATGTGTTTTTGTTTATGAAAAAATGCGTATCATACAATTTTCATATACGAAAACTATATGATAGCATTTTTTCGACCAAAATTTTAATTATGTTTTTAATTGTCAAATGCCCTCTATCTTAGATATAATTATTTAAATCTATTTAAAGTTACCCAGACACGTTTTTTGATGACTTTTGAAAATTGTATTTTTTTATGACAAAATGATTATCTTATAATTTTCATTCTTGAAAATTGTATGATAAGCATTTTTTACAAAAAATTTTAAATCATTTTTTTAATGACTAAAAAGCTTCAAAAAAGGCAATTAGACCAAAAATGTTCATTAAAAACTTTTAAAACAGTTTAAATTTTGTATGAATTTTCTATGATAAGCATTTTTTCCATAGACTTCATATATGAAACTGTATGATAAGCATTTTTCTTCTATGGAGGTCAACCCGGGATTTTTCCAATATTTAAGGTCAACAAAACTGCTCTTATATCAGGTCAAAACTTCAAACTGAAAATTTGGTTTCAGATGTTTGCGCGAAATCTCTTTAAATAAAACAATGTCCGTATGCATGCTACTTGGAAAAAAAGCACTAGGGAATTTTTTGTAACATTTGCATATAAAGGAATATAACTTGACCTGAAACAAAATGCTTGACTCTGGCACGAATTTGATTTCTATGCAATAATCTTACAAGAAGTAAATTTATTTAAAGTTTTTTGCCAACTGAAGAAGTTTGTGTTCATTGTTTTTTTTGCCACCGAAATAATAATAGGTGAATTGCTTTGTTTTGGCTTAGCCAAAAATAAGGAGTAAAATTCATAGCGCTTTTTGTTGCTTGTGTAAGAAATTTATTTGCCAATTTTTTTTTGCATAGAATTTTCTCGGAAATTACAAAATTCTATTCTCTACATAAAATTTTACGAATTTTGAGTTTTAATAATTTTCGCATATTTAGCTAATTCAGCTAGCAGCATTCTGTAGGGTCTAAATTCAAGTACTACGATAATTCAGTCATAGGAGAAAGGAAAATGTACGAATTGTTCAGCTCTTTGCAGAGAAGCTGCTGTTGCGCTCCTGCATAAAAACTACATTCGGCTATTTTCCTGTGCTGCCTAATTTTTTCTCTCCCTCAAACAACGAGCGCGGATCATGATGCCCCTCAAAAATCCGACCTTTGGATTGAGAGGCGGATACGAAACCATTATTGAGAGGCGTAAGGAGTTTGTGTTAGTGACTTATTGCATCAAAACTTCATTTCTCAATCTGGAATTCCACATCTTTTCAATTGTCCTGCCACATATTGTCATAAAGCTGTTCTAAAACGATTGGAGTAAATATCTATCTAAAACTTTTCTTGTATCTGTTGCATAATATGATTCAATCAAGTTGAACAAATAGGTTCAATAAATTCAAATTAAATGCTATAAAAGTTTTGCGTTGTGGACATACTCCTTCAAAATATTACTGACAGCGTCCGGGAAAATTTTAGCCACTGAGTCGGGTTCAACTGCCACTATGTAGTATGGAAACACGTGACCTCTCCTACTTCTCTGGTAAGTTCTGTTTTTCCTGAAGAAGGGCGAGGGGGGCGAACTGGCTCCGATTATTTTGCCCAATTCGTTTGCCGAGTCCAGTCGCAGAGCTGCTAAGTCGCGAACTGAGTCGAAAACTGTCTCGAACATGTGTTTGATGAAAGCGCGTGTTTTAAAGTATTCGGTTAGGTCTTCCACTGGATATTCGATGAATTTGGCAGTCTAAGAAATGTACCAAACTTGCAGTTTTTTCCAGTCAAACTATTTTAATACACTGATTTCTTCTATTGATACTACCTCAATACACCAGCGGATTTGGGGGGGGGGGGGGGGTGGTTGGACGACCCGTCTCTTTAGGGAATCGACCCCATGCCGACTAGAAGGGCCCCCTTTATACTATTTTTAGACATCCATTTTTGGCCGACTGACCCTAAATTTTTTCTAAAGGCGCTTTTGGCGCCAATATATACTAATTTTGAGGGGGGAGCGCGCGCCGTAAAAACGCCTTTTTTGGCCTGTTTTTTTTCTAAAATTTGCCTGCGGCGCAGAAAATTTGGTCAAAATGGGGCCTTTATACTGATTTAGGAGAGCTCAGAAAATCAATTTGGCCGATCTAAAAAAGGTCGACAAAATTTTTGAAATTTTTTGAAAATCCGCCCTCTCCCCTCGGCAAAATCCTAGATCCGCCCCTGCCTCAATATAAAAGAAAAAAGTTCAAGAAAGTGCACTTAAACATAAAATGGCACAAATACCCAGAGGCTGGCATAGAATTTTTCAGAAAAAGTAATAAGCAAAAATTGCCATTTCGAGAAAAGAGGGAGATTTTCAAAAAATGAATGCGAAAATAGGCAAAAATTGCCATTTCAGAAACTTTTTGATAATATGTGGGCCCAAGTTATTTGCTATTTTTTTGGGGGGGGGGGCTGGTAGGCTTTCTTTTGAAAAAATTAGTCTACATTTCCTTCAGAAAAGTTTGAGAGAAATTTGAAATCAGAGTCGTTCGCGGGCAAAATTCGAATGTCATAAATGAATGTCAATGTATGAAAATAGCAAAATAAACATTTTTTCCAGAAATGAAATTGTATGATAAGCATTAATCTTCTATGGACGTCAATCCGGGATTTTTCCAATATTTAAGGTCAATAAGACTGCTCTTATATCAGGTCAAACTTTCAAACTGAAAATTTGGTTTCAGATGTTTGCGCGTAATCTTTTCAAATAAAACAATGACCGTATGCATGCAATTTGAAAGAAAACACTAGGGAATTTTTGTTTCGAAATGGGCCCAAGTTATTTGCTATTTTTTGTTTTGGGGGGGGGGGGCTGGTAGGCTTTCTTTTGAAAAAATTAGTCTAAATTAGTCTACTCCAAATTTGAGAGAAGTTTGAAATCAGAGTCGTTCGCGGGCAAAATTCGAATGTCATAAATAAATGTCAATGTATCGAGACCCTTTCCTTGGTGCAGGAAAATGAACTATACTAAGAAAGGCGAGGGTGGGGACATTCCTGCTCACTAATCCAGCCATGCCGATCACTTCAAATGTTATTACTTTTTCAATTTCTTTCTCTTCCTCCTCGTCTAATTTGAAGCCCGAGTAGCCGACGAAGCCAGTGGAGCGAGAGTAGATGCGTTTGTTCAGCTTGCAAATCTTCTCTAGTAGGACGTCCTGCTTGTTGAGAAATAGGACAAAAGAGAGTCCTTGGAGGAACCGGTTGCTCACTAGCAGTTCAAAGCACTCTAAGGATTCGAGCAGTCTGTTCTGCAAAAGAGAATATTAAAGGAACCTGAACAAATTTTGTTAATTTCCACAAAAGTAGCTGGGCAATGTTCAAGTCGCACAGAATATTCTAGAACGGTTAATTTCCCTCCCGCATCCAGTTTCAAGCGTTAATAATCAATTATATATTAAGATTTTAGTACCACTCTTATTAAAATTGAGAAACAATCATTTTAATCAATTAAAAATCGATTATAATCTCTCTTTTTGAAATAAAATTTTAATCAATTATAATACATTTTAATCGATTATAATCGGTTTTTTATCCGTCTATTTTCCGATACATTTATAATCAATTATAATTGATTATAAACCATTATTTTTTTCCTATTTCTAATTCATGAGCTTTGCACAAAAATCCGTTATAATATAATACATTTGATTATATTCCTTTTTGTATGCCCATTTTGTCTACGAATTTGAATCTAATTTGCTTATACTTCATGCAATTTTTAGATGTTGGTTCCTGTGAAAAATGAGAAATCTGTTCTTAAATTTTCAAATCAATTCAAATTTATGAGTTTTTTTCTTTTCTTCCCCATCAGAGAGCTATTTTAGGATGCAAATTTTAAGCTTTTTTAACCTCCAAAACACTTAGTTTCATGATTGGTTCGAAAGATTTATTTTTCACGTACCGCGAGAACCATTCAACTAAAATGAAAGGATCTCTATGAAACTTTTGTTTCGTGGTGTAACTTTGTGTTCAGATGAACCAAAGTGTGACAAAAGATCTCTCTTTTGGAGATTTTTTATTGACACAAAATTAATAACGCATGAGATATAATTCGAATATTGTTTTGTTTCGAGATATTTTTGGCAAATTAAGAGATTAAAATCGATTATAATCGTTTATAATTGATTTTAAGGGTTTTTTGTGTGAATTATAATCAATTATACTCGATTATAAGAGATTTTGATCTCCTGGAAAAGATCACGATTTTAATCAAATATGAATCTTTTATAAATCTAATTTTGGTAATTATAATCGATTATAATTGTCTAAAAATTATCACAACAATCAGTTATAGTCGATTACTTACGCCTAAACTGGGATGCGGGCTCTTAATTGTGGGATCAAGTTAAGAATTTCCTCCCCTTCCCCCCCTCAGATAGACCAAGTTACGACCAAGTGACATCCTCCCCCCCCCCCTCCTCCCAAACCGCAGGATAATAGTTTGGCCCTAATTGTATTTTTATTTTAAAAAAACGATTGTTTTTAGAAGCATTTTAAAAAAGAAAAAGTCACAATTTTGAAGTTCTTCGACTTTCAAGAAGATTTTGTGCAACGCAATTTGTAACAAACATTTACCCAACCTGAAAATACAGGGTTAATATGCGTTTTTTAAAAATCAGTTTTAAAACTACCCGCATCCAAGTTTAGGCGTAAATAATCGATTATAACGGATTATTATGATGATTTTTTGACAATTATAATCGATTATAATTACCAAAATTAGGTCTTTAAGGGATTTATAATTGATTATAATCGTGATATTTTCCAAGAGATTATTATCTCTTATAATCGATTATAATTGATTATAATTGATTATAGTTCTTACTAAAAACCCTTAAAATCAATTATAATCGATTATAATCGATTATAATCTCTTATTTTTCCGAAATTTTCTTATATTCGAAATATATCTTATGGGTTATTTTTTTGTGTCAATAAAAAAAGCTCTAAAAGAGAGATCTCTTGAACACTTTGTTTCATCTGAACACAAAGTTATACCACGAAACAAAAGTTTCATAGAGATCCTTTCATATGAGTGGAAAGGGTCTCGCGGTAGATGAAAAATAAATTTTCCGAATCAATCATGAAACTAAATCAATCTGCAGATGTTTTGGTGTTTAAAAAAGCTTAAAATATGCATCACAAAATAACTCTAATGGGGAAGAAATGAAAAAAAATCTTATAAATTTGAATTAATTGGAAAACTTTAAAAACATTTTTCTCATTTTTCATAGGAACCAACAAACACAAAAAACATAAAATATAAGCAATTTAGATGCAACTTCGAAGACAAAAATGGACAAACAAAAGGGATTATAATCAATTATAATCAATTATAATGGATTTTTGTGCAAAACTAATAAAATAGAAATTTGAATAAAAATAATGGATTATAATCAATTATAATCGATTATAATTGTATCAAAAAATAGACGAATAAATAATCGATTATAATCGATTATAATGGATTATAATTAATTATAAGTTGAATTTAAAAAGAGAGATTATAATCGATTATTAATTGATTAAAATTGATTGTTTCTCAATTATAGTGAGACTGGTACTAAAATCGTAATATAATCGATTATTAACGCTTGAAACTGGATGCGGGTAAAATAACTTTTTCGTTTTACCGGTCGTTTTCATTTTAAATGCTAAAATTTCTTTTTCGTTTGAAACCCGTCGTTTTCCGCTTAGGACCGTCCCCGCGTAAAGCCCCCTCCAACCACGACCCTCAAAAACACGCCCATGGATTTGACGAATGAAACTTAAGTCAAAGAATAAAAAAAAACTAAATTGTTATAACACGCAATTAAATTCCGAACAATCTGAAACTGAATAAAACAATGAAACGACTAATTTATTATGCAAAAAACAAAATAGCAAAAAGAGATTAAAATTTGGTTATGATCCGTTGGCATGCGAATTAACTATAGGCCCTGACAAACATACTTTGTTTCCATACTAAACCCTGTAAAACCACAAGTTACACCATAAAATTGATACTTGTGACAAAGGGATCGGAAAAAGAGCCGCGTTTGCCTTTCCCTTGGGGGAAAATAGCCGCAACTTTGAAGAGAGCTTTAATGAAAGATTTACTGAATTGGATAAGCGTATATAGATAACGATTACAGTGACGAACAAGAGTTTTCGATCTTTCCATGTTTATATCATTTTTTGTACATTCATCTTTTGTGTAAAATTCAAATTTTTCGGCCATAATTTAATCTTTACCATCATATAGGAAAATTATAGGAAAAAAGGAATTTCATCCTGAAGAACATGGAAGCTGATCCTTCGGGGAGTTGAGGATTTCGATCTGATTGAATTTAAATCATGAAAAACAGGTGACAACTTCAAACCTTATTTGAGTCCTCGGCGAGGTTTATGTCGAATGCACTGCAGTCGATGACATACATGACTGCACTTGTGTTGCGGAAGCACTGGGCCCACTTGGTCGTCCTCTCCTCCCGCAGTCCCCCCACGTCCACCAGCCGACACTGGTAGATGCCCCTCACAGTCACCTTCTCAGAGTGGATGCTGATTGTCGAGGCGTGGATCCGCGACATGTCTCTTTAATAAAGAAAAACATTTCAATGAAAATAAAGGATTTGAAATAAAACAAAACAAATATGGACCCAGATTGACCAAAAATCCTAGTCAAACATTTTTAATATATGGAAAAATGCTAATCATACACTTTTCGTGCAATTCTTTAAGTACAGAAAAATGCATAAAAGGTCTATGATTAGAGATTTTTCATATATGGAAACTGTATAAGTAGCATTTTTCCATAAATCAAAAATTTTGATTTTTTACTTTTTAATTTCTCAAAATGTTTTGGTTGTGTTTGTAAACGAACACAAGTGACAAAAATCTTGGTTAATCAAAGTGTAAAAACCAAAAATTTGGCCGTCTCGCATGTAAAAAACATTGCAAATAGACTGAAATATCTTTCATCTTTCACAAATAGTGTAAAGAAATTACCAAACTTTTAAATGATGGTACAAATTTTCAACAATACTTATTACTAAAATTTGAATTTTTAACTTATTAGATCATATGCCTATCAATCAAGTTATACATAAGCATGCCATACAAAATAATTGGGAGTTTCTAGCGTGTTTGAAAAAAGTTATTACGCGAAAAGGAAAAAAATCCAATATTATTGTATCCAGGACTATGTTATGCACACAAAAAAAATTTAATTTTGCAACAGAATTCGATTTGAGGTTGAAATAAAAAAACACAAAAAATTTTTTGAGGCAGTTTCAAAATAACTAGGAAAAAATTTTTATCGCCATCAAAAAAATGCTAGTCATGCGATTTCCATATTTCGTTTTTCAAACTCCATATTTCCAAATACGTTTTTCAAGAATAAGGAAAAAAATTGTCTTTTTATTCACAAAGTTATTTATATTTCAAAAAATTTTATCTTGAAAGAACACCAAAAATGCCAGTTAGTTGTCTGGCTGAATAAAAAGAGATGTCATAAATCAGGTTTTTTCGAGGGGGAGGGGGGAGTATTTTCACAAAAAAAATTCAAAATTTTGTCGATTTTTTTTGGTGGACAAAATTGATCGTTCCCAAATCGCTGAAAAAACCCTGTTTTAGCCGAACTTTTTTTTGCTCTCCAAGCAAGTTTTTTTGGTAAAATAACTGGTCAAAAAAGGTGTTTTTTGGACAAATTTGACCAATAAATTGTGTTTTTGGCTCGCTTCCCCCTAAAATTTTATATTTTGGCACCTTTTGCAAAACTCTAAAATCAGCCAGCCAAAAATGAGGTTCCTAAAATAGTACCAAAAGAGAGACCCCCTTTATCAACTAATGTTCTAAATTACTAACGGAAAGTTAGAGCTACAGTGTTTATTTAAATTAAACAGACAAACGAAAGTAACTAAAAAATTCAAACTCAGACGGAAAAAGCTTGCACAAAATTTGCTCAGGTGTTGACCAGAAACAATCATGGTGGAATCATTGGTGCAAAAATTGAACGCAAAATGATTTAAATGATCAAACACAATCTTCATTTGTCAATAATTTAAGTTTTAAATCGCGCAAAAACACTTTTGTGCCATTTATTTCAGCATGATTTTTTCATCACTTAATCAAACACGAAGAAATCAAAAAGGCAGGAAATTAGATAATTTTCGTTAGCTTCAAATTTTGTTACATCAATCATATTTCTTGTCTTTGAACTGAATTTAAAAAGAATTTCAGAGTAAAAGTTTTTCAGTCAAATTTTTTTTTTACAAATGGAGTACAAAAATATGCGTATCAACTTTTGCATTTTTCAAACTCAACGATCTGGGAAAATGTTGGGTCCGATTTTTGCAAAAAATGCGTATTTCATTCTATCAATTGTTTGGCAAGCTTTCAACGTGTTTTCTATTTCCAACATTCGTTGAAATTGACGGAATATTTGTGCTCGGAATGGTTTTTTGTCTCCTGACTTTTTAGCTAGCTTCATTTAGAGGAATTTGAAAAAATTGTTCAAATTTAATGTTGTCTTAAGCTAAAACTTAGAAAGCCATCGTTTTTCCTAGAATTTGAAGACTGCCAATTTGAGCAGTTTGGGATAAGCAAAGCGCAATTATTTCATGATATTAACGCGTGCGCGGAGTTTCAATCCGTCTCAGAAATTGTTACAAACTGAACTGTGGGCCCAGCTAGAGCTGGAGATACCTGTTTGATTTTTCTTGAAATTGTTGTACTGATGCGGGATGAAATGGGTAAGTTTGAAGGTTGTAGAACGAGAATATGGTTGTAAGAGACTAGCAGAAAATGGAGACATACAGTGGAAGTGGCACTTTTTCTATACTACAATTGAAAAAGTGAAAAACAATTCAAAAGATGTCTCAACAAAACGTACTTAAATGACTGCTGAAAAAGAGTAGTGTACTCAAAAAGCAGAAAATACCTAGTTTGCTGCTTGAAAAAACGTCTTGAATTTTCGAATTTTAAAGAAAATCTATATGCCTTTGAAGCTCTTTGATATTCATGAACAACTCATGATTGGTGTTTTTTTTTTGATAAAAGGAACCCATCTTGAGAAAACTGGGTCAGCATGTAAAATTTTAAATTCCACTGGGAAATCTAAACCTTAAAATCCACTTTCGAAACTAAATGTGTTGATAACGGTGTTGTTGACCTTTGCTTCTCACTGTTCGATTATGGAGTTTGCTTTCCTTTTAACGATGTAGAAGAACTGTACTTTAAAAGAACTCAAAAGTCAAACCGCGAAAAATTACAATTGATTGAAAAAAAAACACAAAAAAAATCATCAAAACCCATTTCAGAGTCTTCACTACGTTTATTACTCCTAAAATTAGAAAAATAATTAAAGAAAAAAAATTTATTTGTGCAAATTATATCACTTTGTACTTAAATGGCGTAAGGGGCGATAGTTTTCAAAAAAAATGTGTAGAAGTTTTGAGTTTTTGTTTTCAATTTTTTTTTGAAAATTTCATTATCTTTCTAAGGCAAAAACTACTCCACAGACCTTTCAGAGCTATCGGAATACTCAAGGCGTCACCCAGATATAACTGTTGTATGTATCAAGCTCAGCTCTCAATAAAAAAGGTTGATCGAAATCAAATGAGTTGATTTCATTCACTTTTTGACGGAAAGTTTGGGAAACTATTGGTGTTTTTTAGGGAAACTTAGGACAAAATAGCCGGGCAGTCTCAAAATAGTTTCGTTTTTGATATTTACTTGGACAAAAGGTAGTACAATTCAGCCATTTACTGTTAAAAATAAGCTCATTCAGTATATCAACAAAAAAAATAGGGTTCATGAGGGAAAAAATGTTTCCCGAATTCCAGCTAAAAAAAAATGTAAGGTATACTGAAGTTGTACTGTCTGAATTTGTTTTGTATGGCAAAAATTCAATTTAACGAACTGTAGATTTTTGATGCCTCAACAAACTCATTTGTTAAAGTTTTTAATTTAATGACATTTGATGATATTTGTTGACAATGAAAAACATAGCCAACAGACAAGGAAACATGAAAAAAATTCGGACCTGTTTTTTTTGGAAAGTTTTCAAATTTTGGACATCAAAATTATATGTGTCATGAAATGTCTTTGAATTTCCAAAGCAACCTAAGTTTCAATTTTAAAAGCATTTCAGCATTCCGCTGGGAAATCTCTAAATTAAAATCCACTTTCCAAATTGAAAGTCAAGCATGTTTTTCGTCTCTTTTACACTTTTGCGGTTTGATAATAGAATCTACTTTTTACGAAAGACACGATCTGAAATTAGAAAAAAATTAAAGGTCAAACCGCAAAAATTCAAATTTTAGCGTGGACAAATTTTAAAAATTTTTTTCTGAAAAAAGAAACAATGAAAATCTCACCTAAACCTATATGATATTAATCACTAGGTTTATGTTTCTTAATCAAGGAAACGTTTAATACATTTAGAATATAAAAACTGCCATTTACAGATTTTTCATTGATTTTCAGTTCGCACACTAAAGTTTCCTATTTTCACAAGTGCTAGGCTTTATCGAAAAAATTATTCATCAAAATTGAGAAATCCATTTCGTTGAGCCATTTTTCAGAACTTGAGATACGAGTTAACCATCACATATAAACAAGAATGCTCATATATCAGATCAAAGCCCTGATTTTTCCGGCTGCCCTTTAATTGGAATTTAAAAAACGTTAGTAAATAATAAAAACTAAAACAAGTCATAAATTTTTAACAAAAACAAACAAAAAAACTAAAATGTTGAGTATTTTGAAACTATTACAACCAATTAGCATTCCTCAATATCGCTGCAACAAATAAGTTATGTTATTAATTCGATAGCTTGCCATGCAGATAATTGGCCACACATAACTAAATCGAGGTGCGCTTTCAGCCTCATAAATAAAATCTTCGCAGACTCATCAATTGATACAAGTTGGAAGTTTTTAAAGCACCACGGTTATACAAAAAACAAATCAAGGTAAAACGTATTTTATTACTTGAACTCAGGGAGTCAGTATCTTTATTGAGGTTTAATTTCGATCGCGAAATATGACTGAACAAAGAAGAATCACCCCAATCATAAACATTCAGCATATCTTCACAATGCGGAGCAATAAAGCTCATTTTTAACTTCCAATAGCAATTTTTCATTGAATTGGCCTCTCTGGTGTAAATGATTTATTCATGATTTCTGTTGTTTTTTTTTGCAAATGATGTTTGACTCTTCTGTAAAATATCAGAACCTAAGCTTTCATATTAGAGTTTGAAAGCTCAAAAGGGTAAGCCGAGAATTTGAATAATGAACGGTTTCTACGAAAAGCAAGGTTTCTGTTTTCAATAAATTTGAAAGTAATTTGAGAAAAATAAATTTCCTCAAACAAAAGTGATATCTTGAAACGCGTTTGTGCAATTTTTGATATCAGTGAAAAATCAAACATTCTATTCAACTTAAGCTGGGGATTTCGATGAAACAAAAGAGCCATTGAAAAGTTCAGCTCGTAGGTATACTTGGTTTTTTTTCTTAACTACAGCACTGATTATCGATGCGATATCCATCCAATCATACAAGGTCGATAGGCGAAAAAATCAATCATGCAGAAATTTTTTTATATGATCCTGTAAACCTAGAAACATCTCTCCTTCTCTTTCAATCATTTTTTTAATCGATTTAGCATGATTTTTCTTCAACAAAACAAACTTTGAGATTTATTGAAAAAAAAAACAAAAAAAAACAAATCAATCTATTTAAGTGTAGCCACTACTATCAATGACTTTTAAGAAGTTAAAGTTAAAGACACTAAACAAAGTTCTTATTCAATTTTGAAAAAATTTTTTTTTTCAAATAATGAAAACAGATGTCAAAAATGCAGTGTCTAACTTTTTACGAAAATGATTTGAGTGTTATTACGCCCAAAACCAATGAATAATGGTGGACCCGCTCAACTAAATTTGAGCCAGTACAAATTGGGAAAAGGATGTTATCCAGATTTCCATTTTCTTGACCAAAATTTCTCTTGGCTTGACAACTGTCCATTGCAACTAATTCATTGTCGACAAACTTTTTGGCTAAAAAGCATCGGAAAAATTAATATCTGGTTCAATTTTTTCTTTCAAATGGTTTGAAACTATTAGAGCATGAGTTTTTAAAGAACACAAAAAGCCATGCTCAACTGCACAATGAATTTCAGGACAAGTAGGAAGAATAAAGAAAGAGAAAAAAAATATATTCAATCAGAACTGGACTGATTTCTTGACTTCAACGATTTTTTTGATCCAATAGAAACAATGAAAAATTACCTAAACCTATATAATATTAATCACTACGTTAATGTTTCTTAATCAAGGAAACGTTTAATACATTTAGAATAAAAAAATTGCCATTTATAGATGATTTCACTGACTACAATCAAATTGTTATAACTTTTTGTGCGCGATTTTTTTATGTGTTCATATAAATATAAACATAAGTTAGTTATTTTGTCGTCTCGCTAAACTTGCTTTTTTTTCAATTTCAATAGCGGTTTATAAAAAAGTGCACGTCATTTTGTTATTCTTTCCTTCAGTTTTTTGCTTTGTATCCCACGCAGTTTGAACCACGCAATGTATCCCATCCCCCCACGCTTAGTCCCTGCCCCAAAGTTCCCTTTTGGCGGGGGGGGGGGGAATATTTCTTGTACTGTCTTAGGGCTGAGGGTTTTTGGTGAAGGTGTTTTGTGGGGCTGTGGTAAACGCGGGGGTGCTCAACCGTGATTATGGGGATGAACATGTTCCTTTGTGTTCAAGTTTTCCACAAAGCTGCAAAAAGTAGAACAAAAGTCTGCAAAAAATAGTCGATTATTTTGCAAATAAAATATGGATTTTAATCGATTATAATGGATTTTTTTTTATAATAACCGACTATAATGGATTAAAAATGTTGTCTAAGTTTGCCATTATGTTTTCTAAACGTAGACAACAGTTTAGTCAACAAAATTCCAGTATAATCGATTTTTTTTATCCAAGAAACTTTGGTGTGGGTACCTTCTAATTTTTACATTAAAATTTTTTGATCAAATAGGGTTTTGAAGTACAACCTTTTTAGCTTATAATTCTTGATTTGACATTTCAAATATTTTTCTAAAGGTGTGATGGAAGTTATTACACTATTCCAAATTAATAAATATGCTGGATTTTTCCACTTAAGCAATAGTTTTCACTGTTGAGAAAATCTTCATTTTTTGTGTTATCGGATAAAAACAAAAAAAAAAACGAAAGTTTTTCAAAAACAGTTTTTAGAAAATTAAATTTCGTCATGCATCTTTTATATGTGGGAAGTGTTTTTCGTAGATATTTCATAAAACTTACTGTGCGTATGGAATAACATATGGCGTTGTATGACATGCAGGTTTTCATTTATATTAGAAATTGTATGACTAAATGTTTTTGTCAACCCGGATAGCCGATTGCTGTGCAAGCATCAGCAAAATGTTCTAACTACAGTTATTTAAATAAATTTAAAGAAAAGGGTAAATTGTAGACATCAAACATGATTTTTCGAAAAAAAAAATGAAAAATTCCTAAGCTCAACACTGGACAATAGTCTGATAATTGAGACCACGCAAAGCAATGATTATTAACGGTCGGCGACCCGGTTCTTAAAACTATTTATTAAGCTTTGAAACTAATTCAGCATGCGAGTCATTAGCGTAAATAATGAGCCCTGCTGAACTTGCACGACACGTTTTTATAAATTTCGAAAGCTTGTTTTGTAAAAACAAAAATGCTGCATTACATATGTAGAACCTAACTGATCGCTTGGCACGAATCCGTAATCAGTGTCGACGTTGTTTTCGTCTGCTGGAGGCTCTGCTCCTGTGATCTCGGTCAGCTTGTCGATATAATAAGGGAGGTTCCAAAAAGGTTTCTTGTCGTCTAGCATCCGATATGCCCTTATGAAACCGCGGTCATTCCAGAGTCCACACATTTGACCTGCTAGAGACGTTAGACTACTCTCAAAACTTTCTGGTCGCAGTTGAAGTAGCTTCGTAGCTGTATCTTGGTTGGATCCTCGCTCGAAATCAATGTCGCTACTTTTCATGGCCTATAAAAATAAACACGAAAAAGTGAAGCTCAGTTTGAACAATTGGTTTTTAATCAGCTAAATGTAGTGAAAGTTAAACTAAACAATTTACTTTAATGACGGAAATAAGGCTCTCGAAGACATACTTCTTGATATCTTTCAAAATCATTTGCTTCTCGCTCATACTCGGGGGACCCGTCTCGGCTGTAAAAACATTTCTTAACATTTTGTAAATTGTAGTTTTTCCGCTTTCTGAAATTCCGAGAAAAAGAAAAGTAATTTCTTTTGATGTTTCACTCTGCCCAGTTTGACCAAATCCTGCGGGATCTTTTTCGGAATTTCGGTCGACTACTTTTTCGTCTCCGTCTTCCAGCATAATTTGGGAGGCTTGTAATTCTGCTGAAGTTTGACATCCCATTTTTCCCTTTTCGTACAACTTTCATTAAATGACAACTTAAAGGCAACATCAAAAAACATGATAACACATCATTTTTGAAGGGCTAAAAAATATGTCAAGCTAGATAGAGCGTGAACAAAAAATGGTTTGAAAACAATTTAGCTCAAGAAACTTTGAATTTGATCACGTCGTGGTTTGAACATGAATTAATAAATACGAGACCAAAAAAAGTTTTAAATATGAACATGTTTGCTCCGACTACGTAAAACTGGTCTGAACGTTTCGGTTTGTCAGATTATTCCATACTTAAAAATAGTATAGTGAAATCCAATTTAATCAGGCGATATATGATTTTTGGGGCCAGGTCTGATTTTTTGATAACACTGAAAAAAATTTTGAAAGGCTAATCCACAAAGTTCTACGACTAGTTAAGAGATTTTTTGATAGACTGCTGAGCAAGTAACAGAGAAATTTATGACCCTAGTAATCATAAAAAACGTGTCGTTTTTTGTTCGTAATGAGTTGAGAGGATCTAGATGGAGCCAGAATTTTTGCATGTTTTATAAATTTGGTTAGATAAATTTATTCTATTGATTTGAAAAACGGAGAGAAATTTTTAAAAAATTTTTATCAACCTTCGCAGAGGAATTTTATTAAATTTTTGCATCAAAAAAACTTCGTAAGCTAGCTATCTGCACAAGCAAATTTTAAATTACCGCCCTCATGATTGCCTGCACTAATAGTTTAAATTGAACCAAAACTTACAACAACAAAAAATGATCAAAAATTAAAACAAAAAAATACAAACCGGTTTTTCTCGAACTGAAAGTTTTTTTGAACGCTTTTTAATGTCGTTCGATAGTTTTTTTTTGTACCTAAGTAAAAAATATAGAACACTCTCCAAATTGAAGTTCTTTCCCACTCTAAGTAGACGGATGAAAAAGACTTTTTTACTGTATGCAGATAAAATGCTGTGAATGAAATGATTTTTGTAAACGCAAATTCAAGTTAATATTCTAGCATTTCAAATCGCCAAAACTCACAAAAAAGATTAAATTTTTCTGGCTAAATACGCTTGCAATTAGCAAGCATTATCAAATCGGAATGTAGACTTTTTCGGGTTAACAACTAGTACAATTGGAACTAGTACAAAACCAATTGAATCACTTATTCAAGTGCAAGTTCAATTAGTACTGATCATATTGGCAATTTGATGATGCTCATTTTAAGAGTTGAGATAACATGCTTTGACATGCTCACTTTCAAAAAATTTCAAATCTAACTACTTGGTGGATACTAGTTACTACAGAGTAGTTTCATGGGGGACCTGAAATTTTTATACAAGAAAATTTTTCGGCTAAACTGGTATTTGCTCAAAATTTGTCAGCCTTGTTTCCGCTTCGAAAGTTTGTTCAGTTACTAATTTGAATATCAAATATCTAGCTAGGTATGTTTGCTTGGAATTCCAGTTTGATAAAAATAAATTTTGTGGGACGCTTTGGAAAATTTTATCACATTTTGCTAACCGATTTCCAAAACAAAGTGTCCAGAGAAAGTTCACTTATTTTCTTGTGTGCCTGCATAATCTTCAATATTTTTTTGTTTTACCCCTTTAGCTCTTTGTCTACAGCCATCGAAAAACAGTCATCGGGGGATATTTGACAGATAGTTTTGATTTTTTTTTCGTTTTCTCAAAAATTAACCTGCCAAAATTGAGATTTTGGTTTCATTGAAAAAAACGGAACTCAAAAGTTCCACTCTATGAGCCGCTACGCCCAAATTTTTTTTAGTATAAATTATAGCCCTCGGAATAGTAAAAATTTTAATTTTTTTGACAGTTTTTTTAATCTTTTGACTTTTCTCGAATACTAAGCTCTGAAACCTGAGGCTATGGGTTCAATGAAGATAACGGAAAGTGAGAAGCTCAACTGCAGTAACGGCCACTCATAAGTTTTTATAGAAAACATATCGACCTCGGAAGAGTCAGTTATTGATTTTTTGAGCATTTTTTTTCTAAACTTTATGATTTTACCAACAAATACGGGTTCAAAGAACGGTTTATGGTAAGCATTTTTGCGACTACGCCCAATTTTAACTGACACAAAATAATGGTCCTCGGAATATCAAAAATGGAAATTTTTTAAACCCTTTTTTTAAAAGTTTGGATTTCGTGTTGAATCGAAACTACGGGTGTAGTGAATCTCTTCTGCATAAGTGGCTACTCCCTAATTTGTTAAAACAAAAAACTATGATTCTCGGAAATATCAACATTTTGAGTTTTTGATCGTTTCTTGGACTTTTCTCGATAACTATCTTGCCAAATCTGATACCATAGGTTTAATCAACAGTTTGTTGGAAGCTTATATTTTTCTTATAATACCCTCGTGATTTGCCGCGCCCAAGTCCTTTAAGAATAAAGTTATAGCCCTATTTAAGAAACTTTACTTTTAGATCTACCAATCCAATCTGAGATGAAAATTGTAATCGAATGAAACGATTCTGCAAATTTTCCTGCAGAAGCGGCTAGTTTTATTTTTTTGTAAGATAAAAGTTATATCTGCGGGAAATTTCCATAATCTCAAAAAATTTTTGAGAATATTTTTTTGTGGAGTTTTAGGTGGGTTTTGGGCAAAATCAAATTTCAGAAATTATTGATTTCGTCACACATCAGAATAACAAATTGAAAAAATATCAAACATGTACTTCCAGTTTTAGCTGGGCCCTAGGTGTCCTTCATCGAGACATACGAAAATTTTGGTCACCCAGTTTTTTTTTTCTATTTATGTTTTTTAATGATTGCGTTGTATGTCTGTTATAAGTTGTCACCTGCACTGTTTTGAAAAATCTGCACTATTTTGAAACTGTCCAAAAAAAACCAGCTCAAACTTTGAGAACTTTTGAGCTTTGCGATTTAATTGGGATTATCATATTATAAAGCTCAGCAACAAGTGTTTCTTGGCTTTTCCAAAGTATTTGTTTTTTTTTCATAAATATCATCTGTGGGAAAATATGAAACAGTCAAACCTAAAAGACGCACCATTAACATTTGATTTGATGGAGATCGAGATAAAAGCGAAATAAATTGTTTTGTTTGTCATTTTTTTAAATTCATTGCACACAAGTTTTAACTTGGAGGTTGTTGGTTAGAGACAGAAAAGACATTTTGTCGTTAGTGTAAACTTTGGGGAAAACTCATTTTCTTTAGGACTAATAATTCACTTCTGTATTGTCCGCAAAGTATGATCCATTAGAACCTGCAAATGGACGAGCTGAGTTCCGATTTACTATACAATCCTTTCTTTCAAAATAGTTTGATAAGCCATCTAATTTCAAACTTGACTGTGTTGAGCCCCTTTTCTATTGTTTGCTCCGAATCGATCGTAGTTTTCTGCTATGCAATCGCAATCAGGTCGACGGAAATTGAATTCAAGATGGATGAAAAATTTTCAAACATAATTGCATGCAGGTGGGATAGGATACAATTTATTAAGTATAAAAGTGATTAAAAATTAAGTCCGCAATAGTTTTAATCCTTTTCCTTTCAGCTTTTCTTTTCTTATTTTAGCTTTTGATACTCTTACCTTTTTAAAAAGTCAAAATCACTATCCTCACACTGGCGTCTCACTTCGAGAACAATTAAATTTAAACTCTTCGGTCTCGTCGCTTGTTCGGTCTCGTCGCTTAATTGTGCTCTGATCTAATTTACGCGAAGACTATTGCATTGTTAACTCCCAATTATGTTCTTTGAATTGTTTTGCCCACTAGGACGCCCTTATTTAAATACCAGCTTCGATTTTACTTCTAAGACCTTTACAAAAAACCTTCAGCTATAACCTCATTGACAGCTATTTTTGTTTAGTAACCTTTACATGGATTTCACTTGAATCATCCCTAATCTTTGCTCCTTTCCAACTACCGAAAAAAGTCCAAAAAAAATTTTAATAGTCGAAAAAATCTAATAAGTAATTTTTTTTCTAAGTTCGACTCTTTAACTTCAATTGAGTAAATAAACTACTCTCGGAAGCTTTTAGTCTGTCACGTCTCTTCAAATTATTTTGGTTCAATAAATCCTATTCCTTACGCATGTGTGATCTAATCGTTCTGCGAATATTTTTCTAAGATCAGGTCGGAATTCTATCGAAAGCGCAATTGCCAAGCCAGATTAAACCAACCCGCCATTCCATCTTTACAGCACTCCTTCGTGATACCTCTCCAGGTTTGATAACTTTTCTCAAGTATAGGCGTCAGGCTGTTAATTGGTGTTAACTCTAAAAGTTTAGGGGATCTAGCACCCAAAGGTCACCTATTGCTCACCCCGGAATCACCATGGTTCAAACTTTCTCTAACACATTAAGGGTCCAATTGGGATCCTATCTACCAAGTACAACCATACTCGAACAATATTTACCAAATTACACCGTTTTGACTGTCCTTTACCAATTTTCTCGGGAAAATGTCGATTAAACCGTAAGGATGCACCGGAGTTTTTTTGGTCACCAGGGATACTTTTCCGGGGTAAGCTATGGTATTCATAGCCAATTAAAACTTAAATCGATTTGCCGCTCATTTTTTTGCGTAAATAGCCTTTTTTTCCCAGGGGGCTTGTTTTCCCAAATACTAATAACTTCCGCTCCAATAGTTAGAGTTGACTCAAATTCAAGTGCTACAGTTTCTTGTCGTTGTCTATCTTGCCTACAAGTTTCAGCTTCCTACTTTCACCTGGGGTCGATAAATCTCCACAGGTTTAAAAGGGGTAAAATGCTTGGGTGCATAAAACATACTTAATCCTACCGTACCTGGGCCTACCACATGCTAGAATTTGAGCCTAACTCAACCAATAGTTTGAGCTCAACCCTACAAAAAGAATTTGCAGTTCCGTTACCATTTTGGGGAGGGTTCGCTGGTTCTAGCTCTTTTTCATGTGCACCTTGCATGGATTAATTCTCTCGTCTTTGTTTTAATTTTTAGCCTAACTGTTAGTCAATACCAAGCTATGTGTACATACTACTCATTAGCTTTAC